GCGCACACCTCGCCCCGCGGGATGGCTGCGGTGGGCATCGAGCGCCGCGTCTGTCTGTCCGTCTGTCTGTCTGTTCGCAGGAAACGGACGGGCCCGATGCGAGCAACGCGATGAGGTTCGGTTGCCTTTCCTTCCGACAGCCCTACGCGGGGCTGCTTCTAAACCGAGTGAAAACGGTAGAGACTCGCTGGCGTCCTTTGCTAGCAGGCTACAAGAACTGCACCATTGCGATTCATATAGCTGTTAAGGACTGGGAAGATGAAACGTGGAGAAAAATTCTTTTGGATAGGTTTGGTATGACACCAAAGCAAGTGCAGGATTTGTTGGATGAAGGGGAAAAATTTGGCAGAGGAGTTATTGCAGGTAAGCAACCTTAGGTATGTTTTACAAGCAAGCCTTCAGTCCTTTCACATTCAGTCAAATACAGCTCTGCTTTACATGGTAGTGTTCATTATGACATTTCTTTAACACTGGGAAGGAGTGGAGCCTGAGTTGTGATGGGGGAGTCTATTTCAAGTCCTGTAGGCTGAAGTCAGCAAGGGACATTGTCAATAAAATTTGTACTTTTTCATTGTGTTGGAAACATGAAGTATTTTTGACTTTCAGGTTATAGATTTTTAGTCGGGCTTCAGTCTTCTAAATACACTTATTCCACTAAAAACTTTAGGCTACAACTTATTTTCTACAAGACATAAAATGAATTTGTGCTAACTCAACATGCAGTAAGATAACATGGGTTGTATGTTGTTCCATTTGGGGATAATAAATGCCAATTTCACACTTTTTGCATTTTGAGCTTAGGAACTGCTACTTAAACCATTTTGCAGTACTTCTGGTCAAGTGATGTCATGACCTTTCAGTGTTTTACATGTCATTTTAGACTATAACATAAAATAAATCTATTTCAGTTATACAAATGCTCTGTCTCTCGTGGTATTTGGGCAGTGAAGTTTGTTTCTGTAGCACAGAGTCACAGTCAGGACAGAGTGATGTTTCACTGCAGAAATTGTGCTGACATACAGTGGATGTTGCTGCACTGTGCAGTTACAAAGTTTTTATCCTGCAGCATTTTGCACTTTCCTTGTAGGTATCTTTGTTACACCATCTGTCTTGCGTTGTTTGAGTATTTTTAGCTATTCCTGCAGTACAGATTACTTCTATCACATACACCAAAAAATTGTTGCAGTTCTACAGTGCTAAAAACTGTAGGTCCTGTGTAATATGCAGATTTGTAGCTTAACATAAATTGCATTCTCAGTTGTGGAGTAGGTATCAAAGCTTCTTTGCTCCTTATTTTAACATTTTTAATCCTCAAGTAATATAGAAATTCCCTTTTGTGACATTAGGTTTCCAGAGAGCAGGAATTTCCATATAGTTTAATGATTTTAAAATAGTAATAGAACAGTGTCCTGAGAGGAGCAGAGAGAGTTTTATGTTCCAATGAAGCTGTTTCAAGGCCAATTGTAGCTCAGGAGTTTTGGCAGCAGCTGTTACCTCCCGCAGCCTTTTCACAGAGCTCTGTATCTCTGGGTTGTGGTGATTGTAACTTTGTGCTTCACCCACCTGAGCTCAGGCACACAGGCTGTGTCCCGCAGCAAATGGTGCAGGCTGGAGGTTTGCATCCCTCCCGCTCTGTTCTTCTGGAACAAATTGGCTGTTCTGTATGTGCTCAGGGGGGTTTACTTCTGGAAAACTTTTCTTTAGGACATCAAACAGACAAATGATTTTGTATTTTAATTTTGCAAACAGGATTAATTGACGTTGGAGAGACATCGCTATACCCAGAAAACCTGCCTCCTGAGGAGATTCTGGAGCTGGAAAACAAAGCTGTCCTCAGTAACCTAGAACAGAAATATTTGACTGTTGTTTCCAATCCAAGGTGGCTTTTGGAACCAATTCCTGCCCGAGGGAGAACAGGTGTGTGGCAGGTGGACATCCCTGAGGAACTGATCCCTTCGGAAGTGTAGGTGTTGCCCCTGACTATTATTTTCCTGCCTAAATGCAACCTTGTAGTTCACAAGTCAGCATCTTGAATACATCATCATCTTGTTTAGGAATCCCTTCCACAACTGTTTGAAATGGCAAATACATTTGAAGAACTGCTTTTTTTAGGAAAAACAAACAAGATGTGATTTTAATGACTATTACTGGAAATTGTTTTTCTAGATTTTTACTGTAGAAACAACTAAGCAAATGTCATTTTTTAAATATGTGGTTGTGTATTGTGTGCCAATTTAAAATGAGTAAATAAATGCATATTATATGATGCCTGCATATTTGATTATAGGAAAATGGTGCTTAAAAGCAGGTTGCTATCATGAATAGGATGTCTGTGTCACAGCCCACTCCTAATGCTGCCTTAAGGACAGGTTGTTTTCACTCACAGGTTAGGTACAGGAGCTGTGCATAGGATGGATACAGCTCTGTGACCTGACACACAGTGTAGAAAGGCTATTATGAGAAAAAAGGTGCTTGTAAAAAATTAAAGAAGCAAGCATTACATTTCTTTCTCTCATGTAAAATGAAAAATACCAGTAACCTTTGAAAATCTAATACTGAATTCAAGACAATTGTGAAGAATTATAAACAAGCTCCTACCTTTGGGCACTTTTATGGGTTTTTCAAAATTCACACCCTGCATTACAGTGCAAATCCTTTTGACTTTCTGGAGCAAGGCCAGGCCTAGGCATGGCTATAAAAACAGGACAGGACAACTGGTAGAGGCTTTGTATTCAGTTTACTGGAGCATATAGGAACCTGTTCCATTGGACTACACAACTTTAACAAGAGCTGTGGAAGGTGGTACCTAGCACACCTGACATTGGGGTCCTGCAGGGTCTGCAGTCCTGCTGTCTGGACCACATGTGCAGCTCAGGCAGTGGCAGTACAGAGGTGACCTTAGCAAAGGAGCAGCTGCTGCTAGCACAGCTGGAGACATGGGAGACACCTACCCTGGTGGGAAGTGACTGTGAGGGAGGCACTGCCAGGTGAAGTGGCAGCAGCACCCTGTCTGCCAGCTGGGCTCTATGCTGTAGAGGCACAACAGACTCAAGTAGGTGCCTTGGCACATTGCTTGGCCAATAGAGCCTTCCTGGGTGCAGAGGTGTGCCTGTTCTCCCTTGCATCTGCTGTGCATAGTGCTCTCCTCCTTCAAAGTGGTTTCTCATGCAAGTTCAGCACCTGGTTTTCTTATCCAGTGGCAAATCTGCATCCAGTGAAAATGCTGCTGGTGTTTGATTTTTGCACCAAAGCTTCAATTATACTTCATTAGCTGATAAGGGACAAATGAAACTAAAAAATGTAAAGAGACCACAGCAGTACAAGAACTCAGAATTTTAATTGCAAAAGAGAAATGTGGATATTAAGAACAACTGTTGGGGTGTTGTAAACCTGAAGTTTAGGCTGAACATAATGGCGTGATGTACTATGAGCCTGGTGGTTTTCTTGCTTGGCAGCAGAGATGTTCAAAAGCATACAAACTGATGCAGAAACCCAACTGCCATTACTTTTCAGCCAGTTTAGCATGGAATGAACATGCAAGGCAACTCTCTGATGCTGACACATACTTTCCCAGCCTTCAGCAGATGCCACAAGAAAACTACACGTGTGGTTCCAGCAAGACACAGCAAATAATATAAAAAAAATTACGACGAAAACATCTTTTCATTTTACACATTCAAAGTACTTAGCAAGAGCAAATGTATATTCTATCAGCATTTCTACTACTCAGAAATGGTACCCCAAAAACTCCTGAGCAGGAGCTGAGAAACAAATGACAATCAGGAACATTTGCTGGCATCCTCATCTCCCACGTAAAGGCTTATTTCATTGGAACAGAAATCCATCCCACCAGAATATTCTGAGAGTTAGTTTGCATGCAGAGGACCCAACGTACCTCCCTAGCCCTTTTTCCTGCTAGCAAAGTCATTGCACCAGCCCCATTTAGAACATCACAGCTTTCTGGAGAATCTGCCGTGATGGAGGTGACAAATGAAGCTTTTCATGGTCTCATGATCAGAAATTCTCGGACGTTCTCTCCTTCCTAGTACTTCCTCTGCAAACAATTCTTCATGAATCACTACACACTTTCCCTTGTCACCCCACCAAATGGACTCAAACCAACCACTTTCAGCAATATCCCAGAGCTGCTTCTGAATGCTGAGGTATGTAGAGGCACTGCTTTGGCTCCATTTTAAATTCTTCTTTCTTGGTTTGAGTAAATTTTTCAGTTGAAGCCATCTAACCATAGCAGCCAGATTGCCCTGCAGACAGACAGCTGAAAGGAAGCAACCAGTGGACAGAATCCCAACAGAAAATTCTCAGTCATCACTGACACTCATGCTGTACTGCCATGACATCAGAGCAGCATCCAGTTTCCTGGTGACATGAACCAGCAGCAAGTGCTAAATACTTGTTTTTCACTTACATGATTTTTTTAACTGAAGAGCCAAAAAGTAAATAAAACTGCAACAAAATTTCAAGTGTGGTATAGGACAGTGCTGGGTCTCAGCCAGGAGCTGGTCCACAGACAGGAAGAGGGAGCTCTGCAGCATCATGAATAGAAGTGCTACATCTCTCAAGTCTTCCAGGTGCATACCTTGCCTACATGCAGAAACGTCCCTGCACTCCTTGCTCTTATTGCCACGCTAACACTGAAGAAACATGACCCAGGGTATTTAAGCTACCTAAGCACAGAGAGTAGCTGCAAGGATGTTGGGGCATCAGACATCTGTTTTTACAGGTTACAGGATTATAGGATTCATAGACTCAATTTCTCCAAAGTACCTGTAAAAGTCCAAGACAATGTCAAAGGAATTTTTCAGACAAGAAAATGCTATACCAACACCAACAAGTTCCTATCTTGAAAAGTTTAATCATTTACACCAACCAACACAAAGTTGGTAATGAAGACCAAGCTATGAGATTTATACCCAACCAACAGTTGTGAAACCTACAACAAATGTTTCCAGCATAGACTGCACACAATGCAAGGGGGAAGAGCTTATTACACAGCCAGACTAAGGGAAGAACGGTGTACATGCTGCTCAAGAAGAATCAAAACATGAAACTAGAAAAGCAACAAAAGCAACATGTAACCTCCAAGCCAGTGCAAAAGTTGAAATACTTACATGAAAATTTACATAGCTAACTCAAAAGCATCATGTAAGTCGCCATACATTCTACTTCCCCCCAAAAAGCCTTCCAGTGTTGCCTGAAAAGAGCAACACTCTTGTGCCTCTGTGGTTGAGACAATGATTGTGGCTGAACAGGAAAAGAGGTAAAGAGGTACTATGCTAAGGCATCCCCAAAGCATTTAAGAGACATGAAAATCAAGTGTATATTTTGGACCTAAAAGACACCTGGAATAGCATAGGCATTTCATACTGGGTTTTTAAAAAAATATTTTTAGATAATACTTATACTGTACACAACAAGACTTTTAAACAATATATTACACTGCTAAAAATGTTCATATAAATACTATACAGGCAAGCGTGCAACCAACCCATTGGGAAGGTTCACAAATTAGACAACCACACATCTCTGGAAAAACTCTCAGATTATCTTTGAGCTCTCTGATTTGTGTAATCCAAGCCACTGATTCAGCAACACCTGTTTTAAAGGAATTGGGACAAGGCATGAGATGAAATATATTTGTCTGCTGATGACCAGTTCAAGTTTAATATGCTACTGTCATCTTAATCTGGCATATCAATGTTTAACTTGGGAGGTGGAATCACGTATTTTCCAGGACTCTGTGTAATGACCACTCCAGTCTTTTTTCGAAACATCGGTGCAATTTTTGGTGGTTCAGGCAGTGGTGTTTCTTCTGTCTCCTCATTATCTTCATGATGAAGATCATAAGAAATATTTCCATATTCTCGTAAGAATGGGAAGATTTCAAGCAGAAACTGGCAAAAGTCTTTGCGAATTCCAAACCACCCTAAAAAATATAATTTCATGTTGTTTCAGAACAGAATGAACACTAATTATGTAGACAGTAAGTCCTGTTGACTGTTTGCATATGAATAATATAAAATCTGTTCGTGCTGCTTCTCAATATTACTTGCCCCATCATAACACCACAGTTCAGGTTGTATACACATAGATACACATACAGAACACAGATGTGCATTTGCACACATCTGCACACATGGCTGTGTGTATATCCATCTGTATAAATTAAGCTTACTACCACAGCAAAAATCCATTTCGTATGTTACATAGTATCAGGTCACATCAGTACAGAGAAAGAACACAAAGGACTTTGCATCTCAGCCAAAGCAAGCAGTGCCACACAGGAGGACACTGTAAGCACTGAAAACTTACTACAGACACCTGAAAACAATAGTAACAGATATATGTGAATTATTTCATGACAATATACACAGAAAAGCCCTTTCTGGAAAGACAAAACTTCATAAAATACATTTAAGCCTTGATTTTCAATCTGTTTTGAGGATTTTAAATATACTTACAGTGATTTCCTCCTTTTTGTCCAAATGTTGTTGCCATTAAAGTTATCAGTGAAAGCCAGAGAGGAACAAATATGGGTATGAAAGAAAAAGAATTATGCCCATCCAGTCTGTGTACTAGCAAGATCTAAATGGCAAAAAAATTATACAATGTCAGTTTAATTGCAAAACTCACTTTCAAACTGCTTAAAGCATATGCTGAGCTCAGAGCTTTTAACTTCACACATCTGTGGGGAAAAACAGCCTCCACAGAAACATGTAGTTACAGTTCTAATGCAATGCATATTTTAACAAAAAAACTTTAAAGGAACATAGAATTCTTGTTTGTCTTTCACATTTGCTGTTAATATTTTATGCCAAAACAAAAAGCAGCATTCTCATTTCAGTAAGTTCAAAAAGCAACTTTCATCACTCACTGAGAAAAGAACAAGACACATCACACTCATGATGCCTGTTCCTACCTCAAATGTGAGCAGTGGAACTACAATTGTCATCCAGCTGACAGCCATGGTTATGTGTGTCCTCCTCTGCTCAGCAATCACATCCATAGAGCGCAGGAACAGAACAGACCACACAATGTAGTAGAGCACTACTAGGCACAGGAAGGACATCAAGATCCACAGGGGAACACAAACAACCTGAGAGAGAGATTTCATTTGGTTCAGGTGTGGGTTTTTTTAAATAAAGCAAGTCTACATACAGTTTAAAATTAAGTAAATGCAGTTTAGTAAGACTTCAGTGATTTTACGTTGACTCAAACTGTAGCTGAAATTGTTTTTAGCAACTACACT